TATCACGTTGGCAATCCGGTGGTTTCCTTCTAACGACAAAGATTAAACAAAAAAAAAACAAACGCGTTTAACAAATTCAGCGTTAAATTTCGAGTGTGCGTAATAATAATAATAATGAAATAACGATAAATTCATCGAGTTTTCCATCAAAAAACACATGAATAACTGCGTGAATTCCGTCATCGAGACCTTCTCGATCCGTACCAGCTGATGATGATGATGATGATGAGATCATTGCAAGCAGGAGAAGGAGGAGGCCTTCCTTGATCGAAAACGAACGTTTTTATTCATGAATCATCTCAACAATACTAAAACAAACTCTACTTTAATTAAGAGATTCTAACTTGCAACAACATAATAAAGAAATTGCATTTCATTTCTTTACTGGTAAAAGCGATTTCTATTGCCATATTTCTATTTCAAACGACTTTTATCGAAAATTACGTCACCCGAACACAATATCACACGCACACAAACTATTGACTAATTGCTGCATTTTAGGAACAATGCAGTCATTGTCGTTGAATTGTGTTTCGTAATTTAAAAAAAAATTAATACAGCACAAAAAAACTTGTTTTAAACGATTTGGGTTATTAAAAAAAACATAAATCTGTGCAAATAAAGGATTTACGTATGCAACAAATTCCTGCATGATTCTCCAAAATTTGTAGAATTCTCGATTACGTAATCGTTACTTACTGGAAAACGGAACCGTTTAACAATTTCTTTTAAAGAAAACTTTTGTATACTTGTGTATAAGAATACATAGATTAGGAAAATTGGAAAACTCAGATAAACCTAATTACGCAAATAATGAATTCATTTTTGAACAAAGATAAACAAAACTAAAGTTGGAAATGGACGAGTTCCAATATTTGGGAAACTCTAATGATCACGTTTCCTAGACAACAACAACAACAGCAGCAGAAATAAGTAAACAAGGAAAGAAACAAAAATAAAGGTAACCATAGAGATCTGATTACAAGTTTTAACTATTGATGTTTCAGGACATTGTTTCCTAGACGACAACAACAACAATAAATCCAAAAGTGTAACTATTCACGTGAGCATTCTAGATTCGTAGACTAAAGATTTCTAAAGACAATTATCACTACCTAACACTTCAGCACGAGCACCCATTAATCTTTAAAAACTGCGACTTCCAAATTTAAAACCACAACTTTTCTTGTCTTCCTTTTTGTATTTATCTATCTATATATAATTTGATTCGTGGAATCTTTTTCGACCGTCCGTAGATTTCAACGTACTTTTATTATTATTATTAGTTAATAATAATAATTATCACTTTTATTATTATTATTAGTTAATAATAATAATAATAATAACGCTCGAAGCGTTCGCGTTGGACTGAATCCGAATCTGCAGCCAAAACAGATAGAAAAGAGAGGAGTCACGCGGCATTGAAAATTGAGAAAGAGGGAGACGGACGGACGGACGAAGTTATTTTGAAAAATGAACGCAAGCATCCACGGACAAAAAGAAAACTAACGCATACAAAAAAAAATAAATTAAGGATTTAAGAATTTTCTGACCCCGGCGATGACCCAACACCTTCTTCTTACATCATCATCATCTTCGATGCATCAACAAACAAACAAATGAAGTAAACACACTTAAACGTTTTCGCACTCTCGATTTGGATAAACAAACAAAAATCTTCTGGAAACGAGAATTCTGGAATTGTTTAACAGCAATAAACGTGATGTCATTATGAATACAATTACAATCTGTTTTCGCTACTTTACGAAAGTTAATAAAACAATTTAAGTTTTGATTATGGACAAGCGAAGTGGTGTAAGTTTCAGCAGTTTTCAAAATCTTCAGTTGCCAATAAATCAAAATCCAATAAATTTCAATATCTAACTGGAAATACCGAAAGAACCTAATAAATATTGCTTACAAATTGATTGAATAATCAGAAAATTAGTTTAATCTACAATAATAACTGTTCGGATTCGATTAATCATCGTAATTATGGGTCATTAATAAACGAGTTTCTAATGAATATAAATATTCAACATTTGTCTTATTTAAAAGTAGAAATCTCCACCTTAATTATCTTAATTGCATACTTAACGATGCATCAAAACTTAATGCAAAAATCTCTGTTTTTCGTTCAACGCTGCAATTTCGCAAGTCGAATTATGTAATGAGTTTATTTTGGAACTGCATCCGCGCAAAGTGTTCTGTTGTGACAGACGTCAAAACAAACGATGAACCGGAGGGGGATGAAGAACAAAGAAGAAACGTTTCCATGGTTTTTGTTTTCGTTTCGTCGTCGTGCACACTCCGATTTCCACGCTTTCGCGGTTCTCGAATTCGTTCGTCTAGGCGCAACGGTTTTACCGTTTTTCATAATTACTTAACCGCCGCGGTTCCCATCTCCTCTTCATCAATCCCGAAACGGGAACAATCTTAATCGATTAATTGCGTTTCAACGACACGCGCCAACAAACGTTTCCTTTGACGACGACATAACGGAAATCTTAATACGTTTATAATCATTCCTGAGTTGTTGCTATGGTTATACTTCAAAAGAAGTTTCTTACATCTGTTGACTAAAGAGAAGAAGAAAGAAAAAAACAACTTACGAATTTTGATTTTCCTCGTTCCTGTCTGGACATGGCGAAAATTCATCGAGTTGGCGTTACTTCCTTACTTTCTCCAATCCAATTCGTTGACTTTCTTTCACTCCACGACCAGCAACGACGTTCCTTCTTCTCACAATCGATTTGCGTCGATCGAGGAGCACATGGAACAATAATATGGATCTACGAGAGAAATAAAACAAAATCAATTAATTTAACGTTCAATTGTTCGTGCGATATGTAAAGAAATGTTTAAATCGCAGCGATTTGCATGTTTCGCAGCGATCGAATTAAAATGCAACTGTCCGCGCATTTACGACGTTACCGTTGCACGCACAAAATAAAAACATTTTTCCGCACTTTCGTAATTTCAACAACAACAACAGCAAAAAAAATTATATTAAGCTCAACGTATTAGTAAACGTTGTTCTCGAAACCCAGATAATTGTTAATTATAATTAGTTTCTAATTCGTTCATTTATTCATTAATTCAACACGAAATTATTATGAAACTTTCAAAAGTCTGTTTCAAATTATTGATTGCAGCAGGATCATTGATAAACGAAATTTAAATCCAATTTAGGACTAATAGAATTGGCCAAGGATATGAAACATCGAATAGTGTGAAGGTCAATGCGAAGATGGCGATAGTTTCGTTGAGGAATGTTGTTGCGATTGTTACGAAATCCGAAGAGAATCTTTGCGGTCGCGAGTTAGGAAGAAGGCCTTGACCAAAATTCTCCTCATATTAGCAGCGCTGAGCAACCAAAAACGTTAATAACGCGTTTCATTTGTTCCTCAATCACAACTAGAGAACGGTTTGAGAAACACTGTTGATTCAATAACGAACGGAAATGTTCTTGTGTCAACAGTCAATTGT